TTCGAATTCTTTCAAAGAATTTGTAGAAAGGATTACAAATCAAACTGTTTAGCTCGGACCGCGCGTCGCGACGCGGCAAATTTAAATTTATAATTTTTCCTCAACTAACCTCTACTTACATTACAGAAGATGGAACTTTTAAATTATGATAATACAAATTTTACGTCATTTGATGTATTCTTATTTCCAGCGATTTCAAATATGTTTTTTTTTTTCTTTTCTTCAGCTATTTCAAAAATTAGTTCTTAATATATCTCAACAATTTTTCAATGTTGATTCGTGTAGGGTGTGTGAAAATTTTAAAATTCATATAGCACATTAGTTATTAAACTTATTTGTTCATATAGCAAATTTTAATTTTGTTAATTTATTTTTTTAGTACAAATTTCCTTCTTAATTTGAGCAAGTAACAATCTTATTACTATTTTATAATTTTCTCCCATATTTATTTCCTAAATTACAATTTACAAATCACTTTCTGCACTGTCTATTTCTCTCTTTTTCATTAATTAATACATCAAATTTTTTAAATTAACATATATATATATATATATTAGCAATAATTTTTGTAATATATTTTCAACTGAACACCCATGTAGTACGGGTAGTGAAAATTGAAAACCATAATGAAAAATTGTCGTACTCCTGAAAAATTTCAAGCATCGCAACCCACGTTGCTTGACTTCTACTACTAAAAGATTTAACTTTACAAAATTTTCTTTACTTATGGATTTTAGAGAAATGTGATAGGTTCAAGTGAACATTAAAAAGTAGGAAAATCTATAGTCTCGTTACAGAACCATTCCGTCGAGATTTGTAACCGTTAGATCATCATGTAACCGTCGTGGATAGTTGATCTAACGGTTACAAACTCTGACGGAATAATTCCGCAACGGGACAGTAAAATCTCCCTAAAAATATAATGAAAGTTGAAGTAGTTCTTAAAAAGTCAACAAAGTATAATGAAAGTTGAAGTAGTTCTTAAAAAGTCAACAATTGTAACATTTATTTGCTTGACTTCATGCCCATAAAAAGATTCAACTTTATAAATTTTTACTATGGACTCTCTTCTTGTATGTGACAACCTCATTGCTCATTCTATTTTTATTATAGCATAAAGAAAAGTACAAGAGTAAATGACCATTGTAAACGGAATGCACGGGATATAATATTACGATTGTATCATAAATTACTATATAAATAATATGAATAACGGTTTACCAAAATTATAAATATACTATCATTTAGTTTGCATAAATATTTATACACTAACATATAAATATTTGTATATTTTGAGTATCTCATCGTAAAAATTCTTGGTTTTATAATTTGGATTGCAGTATATTTATGGAAGAAAAGAATTAGCAATAATAAAATTCATAGTTAATTTCAACAAATTAATTTAGTAACTCATAATTAGTTTCAAGAATTTATTTAGTCGGACCAAATTGAACCATAACATAGTTACTCCAAATTTACCCCAAGTTGATTTGACCCGTAAAAGTTCAAACTCGACTCTTTTGTTTACTTAAACAATAAGCTGCACTCGAACAAATAATTAATCTCGTTTTTTTTTTTTTTCGAAACGACAGAATTCATTCAATAAACACGTAATTACAACCGACTCACTAACCGGAATAGAAAGACTATCCAAGGCAACCTAGATACCACAACGCACACTACAAACGAATAAGAAAAATAAAAGCTCCCCACAGGAATACACAAACTCCCCACAGGAGAATAACACAAACTCCCCATGGGAGAATAACAGATAATTAATCTCGTTTATTAACAAATATAAAGGTACTCGGCTCGGATCGAATAGGA